AACAACAACAACAACAGCAAGAAGAAGAAGAAGAACAGCAATAACAAGAAGAACAACAACACCAACAGCAACAGCAACAGCAACAGCAACAGCAGCAGCAGCAGCAGCAGTAGCAACAAGCAACAAGCAACAAGCAACAAGCAACAAGCAGCTGCAACAGCAACAGCAATAGCAATAGCAAAAACAACAATAGCAAAAAAGCATCACGACGACGACGACGGAGACGGCGACAGCAGCACCAACACTCAGCGTGCTGCTGCACAGTTATTGACAAAGTCTCGACCGGAAAAGACCGCTTTCATTTGTGTTCCAAGAGGCCGGAAGAAGAGCAGCCTGGCAAGGCCAAGGCCACCACTGACCATCACTACGATTAATTACCACTACGAGTACCGGCCAGCACAAGTACCATTACCATTCAACGCTATCTACTGCCACTTCTGCGCTCCTACAAGTAGCTTGGGTGTTCTTCGGTTCCAGGCTCGGTGCTCCGAATCGACAACTGTTGAGCACTTTGGTCGAGGCACCAGGTGCGACCGCAGATGTGAAACCGTGGGTCGGCTTTGGCCGTCCATGCACCTCAGCAGAACAAGTACAAAGATCATGTTCAACATTCACAGGAGGCAGACAACACAACAGCGCCTTTGACTTACCAGTGCCGCCACGTGCACTGGACAAAAGCAACGATAGCACACAAAGCATGGACAGCAGAGATATGCAGGAGTGCCATAGCTTTTGCAGCTGCTTTTGCAGCTTCAACGCTGAGTGCACACCTTTTTCCCTGTGCAGGGTACGTGCGTGGGGTACTGCGCCACGCGACGCGCTGGCTTCGTAACAGATCATTTGCCCTGCTAGGCACAGGCATGCCGCCAAGCTGGTGCAAGTGCAAGGCACACGTCATAAGAACAGACCGTAGCCAGGGGTGTACAACGGTATACGGCAGGTGCACCAACTTCCAACTCCCCTCATGATGCGAAGCTATCCTGAGCGGCTGTACAAGCTCACAAGCTGGCGCATCGGAATGTGGCCTCGAGGTTCAGCCATATCTCGCCAGACGCGCTGCACGCAGCGCGGCGGCGTCGCCAGCAGCAGGTCCAGCGCTAGCGCCGGCACCGCCCAAGACCTCGGTAGATGCGAAGATCAGCCGCCTATGGCTATTGCTTACCCCCTGCCTTTCCCATGCGATGTCTCTCACTCTGTGAACGCGGGGGGGCATCTGGTCGAAACTTCTGGAGGCAGGAGGGATAATTGAATTCGAACAATTTCAGCGTGGAGTTGCAGCATGGAAGTTTATGCCGCTGCTCGGTGCGAAATGCGATCACGGTCAGTTGTCGGAGTGCAAGCAGCAGACTTTGCCCACAAGCTTCCGTGTTCATCGCTTTGCTGCAGCATGCATGGGAAGAGCGTGCACATCAACGTGTAGACGAGCGAGGGTGGTGATGTTGACTTGTGACCGGGTGGGCCGAAGCACGCAGCGAGGATGGTCAATCTTTGTCGATTCCACTGTTGGAACGAATACCCTGTGCTGACTGGCTGCTATGTCCTATTCAGAATGACTGATGCCCTCACTGCATCTACTCACTCTGTCACGGGACTGAGTTGGAAACTGTTCCAGCAGTCTCCCGCCAATCTCCTGCTGCCTTCTTCCAGGCCGCGAAGGCTTGCGAGGCATCCTTGCGATTGGCCATGGCATGCCACGGCCATGTTAGGCATGTCACCATGTGCATATCTGGAAGTCTTTTGAGAGGGCCTGTGGACTGCGTGCACTTGCCACATCCTTTCGGGCTTCAATGCCATCCGCGGCCTGCCAAGTTCAGAACTCTGAGCTTCTGCCTGTTCCTCCCCGTGTGGAGCCAGCACCTTCCCTTTGGAATCCACGACGATGAGGCTTGGAATGCCATCCACACCGAACTGCTTGGACAGCTTGTCCCTCTCTTCAGCCGCTGAGAATTCAACCGCCAGCCAGTCTCCATGCTCGTTGTGGAAATATTCCTCGCGAGTTCATCCTCTACCGCTAGCTAATCTCTGACAGAGTCTGTTCCGGAACAAGTGTTCTACTCGGGTCCACAATGCGTAGAGTCGAAAAGTCACATTTACGACTTTGACAGCTTTGTGAATCGGGATTGAGGACGGGGATGTCCGAGGTTCGATTCAAAGTGCTGATAGGCGCGGGGACTGTGATCGAAGGCCTATGTCCTATGTAGAAAAAGTTATTATTGAATCTGTGATTAGTAGATTAGAGTCGATTTGAATCTATCCTAGCCCCGACACTTGCACCACAGCAAATGCTACTGGGTACCGAGTAAATCCTACTACTGGGCATGCGCATGCTGTATCGCAGAATACAAGGCGACAGGTACGCTGATCGGCTGTTTACGCTGCTTTGATGTCTTTCGCAGCTTTACACGTGTGGTTTTGGAAGAGGCCAGGTTGCACATCGCCCGATCAAACTTCCTTTGACTTTCGCACTCACGTATCAGACATATCACGAAGGCGTCCTTGAAGTCTGCTTCCGATTTGTCTCCGGAAACAAAAATGATCTCGACCTCTTGACCCTCCTGCTTCAAGGACTCGTAAAACCTTGGCTTGCTTTCGTCTGTCTTTGCATTCGCTCAAGGATGCATCCATAGCAGCCATAGCACTGCTTCAGGGCAGGAGTGAATGCTCGGCATGGCGGACACCAGTGCGCACCTTGGAAACGTCACGATTTTACCCGGCCAGATGCGTTTCGGATGGCTCGTTAGCTTCAACATGCAGTTCTCGCACACTTCGTTCAGATGCATTCTGTGCTGAGACCGTCACTGAAATAGAGCCTTAGTTAGCGAGAACTCGCTCACGATGTCACAGCAGGGCCACTGGGCTTAACTTCCTAGTGATGTAACTGGCAATGGCCGTACGG